GAAATTTTCGTATTAACGAATGAATTGACAATATTGTTCGGGATTGCCACAGAAAGGTGTCAGTTCAACTCTTGGCAAATCGACGTTTACATGAGCATACGTTTTTTGCTGAGGGACGAATTCTTGATTCGGAGAGAAGCCACAGTGTGCAGTCTCAGCTCGAGGTGATTTTATGCCGTTGAAATCGGTTTCTTCACGTTTGGCCTGTTCTATCAGCTGCCTAGCTAATCTCAACTCATGCTCTTATTCAGAAACCCGCAATCTAAATACATCAATATCCTTAATATCTGAATCTAAACATGAAACAGCACTTACAGGACTAACAGATCCAACATTTTCTAAAGAATCAAAATGACCCACAGCGCCCCCCCCCCAGTGACTTGCCGGGTTACTTCCTGTTGGGTTTCAGTTTCCTTGGTTGCTCGTCTGGGCATCTTCGAAATAGTTTTCTCGTGTGATTCCAATTAGAGTACTGTACGTCAACCAATTCGCACTTGAGTGACGCGTAGCCGACCCGATACGAATCCCGAATTAAAACACAATTGATCCGCAAAGTTCTACGGTACTGAATTAACGAAATCATTACAAATGTACAATAAAGCAAACCTCAAATATGCGGCCAAAAGCGCTCAAGCAAGCGAGCCAAATAAGACGTCCAGAGAGAGGCAAACAGTCGCTCCCGTTCTCAAACCACGCCAAATTCAAATGTGTCGGGCATCCAAATTAACAGATAAATAATGAGGTGTGGTGTTCGTGATCGAGAAATGTCAATATAAGAGCAACACACAGATAAAGTTATTTCACCATAAATCATTATGGGTTCGGAAGGATTTTCAAAATTCGGCATGAAGGACACTCCTGTCCTGTCTAATCCAAGTTAAGGTCTGTTAAAAGTTATAGGTTTTCTCATTTACTAATCACCCCAAATAGGAGAGCGCTTCCAAATGTGAGGTCTCTCGCCTGAACAAGGGGAGAAGATACTTTTTCCCTCTCTCTTCCATTGCAGAGGCGGAGACGACTTAGACAAGAGTAAAACGCGAATAACTGCAATATAAAACACTCTCAGTGATAGGGGCCAACACGTGGCTTACTACCGAAGGAACTCTGGACGCTCGATTGGCCTTGGCCATCCCCTGTCATGTGCAAACTGACTGACTGACTGACTGACTGACTATCTACAGTTGATTAAGTGTTTGTGGTCCTCTCAATTACGAGAACGTTGACTCCTTGGGGGTATGCTGAAAGGGAGGAAAACAAGCAAGGATATCTCCTCGTCCCATTGGTTAGAGACCTCGTGTACACAGAGCACATGTGACAGGACGGTAAGTTTTAGAATAAATCCAACAGTGAAGCACAAGTTTGCACCATTTCAAAAGCTTCTGGTTAAGTAGAATTTACTCCTTATGTTCCCACTCTAAATACTAACTTCGGGGAACGTTGCTGGCCAACATGCGTCCAGGGCCACCTTGAAGGCAGTAACATTGGCGCAGCTGACCACTTCTGCGGGTAACCTGTTCCACATAGGTATGATCCTGTATGCGAAGAAGTTGGCCAGTAGTTCTAATCTGGTGTGCTTCTGCTGAGGTTTATAACCATGACCTCTCGTGTTTTGGGCATGAGAAATCGTAAACAAGTCATCCAGGTTGAGTCCCGATAGACCTCTCACAATTTTGAAAGTATCTATCAGATCTCTCCTCACTCTTCTGCGCTCCAGCGAAAAGAGATCAAGATCTCTCAACCGCTGCTCATAGCTCTTCCCCTTTTGCCCAACCACCATTCGGGTAGCTAGGCGCTGCACTCTTTCTAAACATGATACATCCCTCCTGTAATACGGTGCCCATGCCTGCACACAATATTCCATGTGGGCGAACAATCGACTTATACAGGGGGACAAATAACTCGGGCCGTCTGCATGTTACGGTAGCACACAGCCTGAACAGCTACCCACTGGCCTAATTTGCAGCCTTGACGCACTGGGTTGATAGTTTAAAATTCTGGGTCATAAGAACCCCTAGATCCCTCATCTGCAGGACCTGCTGCATGTGAGCTCCATTCAACGAGTATACCTCTGCTCTCGTTGCTAAGAAACGACACTTGTTTAGATTCAAAGGTAAATCCCACTTGACCAACCATCGACGGGCTACGTCTAGGTCTCTTTGCAGGTTTAACCCTGTCATTTTGACATCATCAGCAAACATGAAACAAGGATTTTGAAGATCCTGTGCCAAATCGTTGACGAATATGAGAAAATGTAAGAGACCTAGCACTGAGCCCTGAGGAACCCCACCTGTAACCATCTCATGGTTAGAAAAGTAGTCACCCGACTTAACCCAGAAGGTGCGATTAATCAAAAAGGCTACAATCCCGTTATTGGCTCTACCTGTTTTACCTAAACTCCCAACTTTGAAGTCCAACAATCGATGGCTGACAGAGTCAAATGCTTTACAGAAGTCTAAGTAACAGATATCTACATTTTTCTCCTCATCCATACGTTGAGTGACTTCCTCTAGGAAGACAAGCAGGATCGTAAGACATGATTTCCGTGGTACAAAGCCATATTATGCCGGTGACAGTAGTCGATTGCTAGTCAGATGTGGCAAATCCGCCTTCTGATTAGTCTCTCCAGGCACTTACATAACACTGACGTTAGGTTAGCGGGTCTGTAGTTTTCTGCTTTGTTTATCGGTGCAGCCTTGTACGCGACTAAAAGGCTCTAGAGCACGTCCAGAGATGATTCACTAGGCTTTTCCCGCCCTGAGTATTATGTCGTACTCGAGGCGCCTGAGAGAGCTAAACTTGTTCTCCCTTTCTCCTAGACAAATGAGTGGTGACCTAATAGAGGTTTTCAAGATACTGAAGGGACTCCCACAGCCAAGAAGGCAACTCTTCTTCCTCAGTGAAAACCCAGCCCTAAGAGGACACCAGCTGAATCTGGTCAAACCCCGCGCAGTAAAGAAAGGGCAAACTATTTCTCTCATAGAGTGGTCAACGCCTGGAACAGACTTCCTGACGAGGTTGTGCCGGCGTCCACACCGGCACTGTTCAAAAGAAGGCTTGATGAGGTGCGGGAAAGCTGGTCGGCTCGATGGGATTTATCCCTGAATCTTGCCAAGTGTCAGATACTGACGAACAATGTTGACTCATCCGGGGACGCAGTGCTACGTGGCACGACGGAGGTAAAGGACCTAGGGATCATAGTCACAAAAGACTTCAGGCCTACAAGACAATGTCAGG